CTTCAATGAGCAGGTTCTTCCATTCTGCCATACCCTCAATCCGTTCTTGAAATATTCTTCTTGAATCTTCGCATTCATCGCCTGTTCCGCACCTAGCGGCAAACACACAATTGGGCCCTCAAATGATGACATTGCCTCCAAGGTTCCATTCCATCCTGAGTGTGACAGGAATACTCTAACGGCCTTATGCTTCAACACCGCAACTTGATCCACCCATGAGATAATCTTTATTTTTCCGCAATTACGGTTAATATAATTTTCAGGAAGCCAGCTCTCAATGTCTCCAGACTTGTGAGCATCTTCAGACATCTTCTGAGCATCTTCAGACATCTTCTGAGCATCTTCAGACTTCAATGCGGTTACCATGATGTTGTTCTGTTTCGGCAATCTTAGAGCCCAAAGTACAGGCACATTCATTTCCTCTAGAGCGCTCGCAAGCTCCAAGAGGTCAGCGGCCCGAAGGTCGAATTGACTACCCATGGAAACGAAGATTACAGATCTCGGTCGTTGTTTATTCAGCCACGCTTCAGCCGTGTCCGCGCTCGCCGGACTCTCCTCGGGGGTCAAGTCCCCAAGATCCTCGTCCGTCTGAGTCTGAGAATCACATCTACATCCCCGCTGTGAGTCGAAGTGGTTGCGCACCTCCTTATTCTCTTGAGCAGAAAGCTCGGTCTTCGCCCCCCCACTCAGCTCTGTCTGTTCCGTTTGATCCGGTGTGCTCTGTTCCAGCGTGGTCGTTCCATTGGGTGTGCTCTGACGCGGCAAGGTTTGATTCGGCGTGTTGGCGACAGCCGGATTCGTCTGAGTAGCCTGTCTCGGTTCAACACTATGATTCGGTTCGGTAGTTTGAATCCTACCCAGTTGCTGAGCGGCCTGTTCCCTGCACTTGTACAGCGGTCCTACACACAGTACCTGCCAGTTGCGGCCGTCTTCGGCGCGAGTGACTCTTTGTCTCGCCATCTCCACGGCCTCGTGAGGCCACCAATCAGCGACATCATTGACCAGAATGCCTTCACGGTATCGTCTAGCGAGGTTCTCCGCGTCCAAGAGCCCCTTAAACTTGTCGACGTGTGCCGGGCTCGTCTCAATTGGCTCCACTACGCCAACACCGGGAATGGTCGTTTCCGCATGCGGGTCGGCTACGCTCACAAAAGCCAGACTGCTAGCGTGGAACTGCCAACTCGGGATACCGAAATGACGTGCGACTTCTGTATCGTAACCGACGAACATGTCTGGTACGACCACCTTCGGTCTTCTGATTGGGGTTGTAATGACGACTGCCGCCCAGGAACTTTTGTCTACGGGATTTTTTTCCTCTCCGGGGGGTTTCCCGTCGGATTCGCATGCTGGACTCCCTGCGGAGTGGCATCCCGTGGAGTCAACGATTACCGCTCGGAGGTCCATCAACCCCGAGTCGTAAAATTTCTTCACCCTGGCGACCCAGCGACCGTTCTTCACGTCCTGAGCGTAAATGGAAAAGGAGTCCTCGTCATCCTGTGCGACAATCGCGTATACACGAACTCGTGGGTTCTCTGCAATCAAGTTTTTGATCGCACCCAACTGTTGCGTCGAACTCACGACACCAAAGAGAGTCACCGAACAACCCTTGTGCAACTGGCACAAACGCTCACTCAAGTGCAAGGACGGGGCGATGTGGCCAAACCCATGGAAGCACAACACAGCCACCTCCAACTCACTCGCAATAGAATCTTCCTTATTGGCTCCAGCCATGATCTCAGACTCAGCTACGACCGCAGACTTAGCCGCCAGCTCAGTCGCAGCCACAGCAGACTCATCCGTTCCCTTATTACCCGTCGGTTTCGCCACTACGGTGTCCGTAGCCGGACCACCATGGCTTATATGCACGGTAGAGTTGATGAACTTTATTTCGCAGGTGCCACTCACTTGCAAGACCGCACCCATTGCGAAGTCACCTGTGCCGGCCATTGAACGAGTTAGCTCAATCTCAAATTCAACCTAGCTGTTCTCAACTTCAGCGCAGTAATTCCCCTAACTAGGTCAGTTCTTGACTAGTAGTACTTGATCCCAAATTTCGTAAATCCAAATTGAATAATGCGTTATTATGATAATCACCCGTCTCAGTCGCTACCCGTCTCAGTCGCTACCCGTCTCAGTCGCCCGGACGGTTATTTGGCGGAGCTTGTTGAGAATCATGAGCTGTCACCCAGCTCTCAGGGCCAGGGTCCAGTGGGTCACGACTAGGGTTGAGTTATGTTAGTACCGCGTTTTTTTTGCACTGATCAAACGGGCTGTTCGGTCTGTGTGTTTGGTCAGGTGTGTGTTGGTTTCGTATGGAGACGGATTTGCTGGAGTTGAGGCACCGTAGTTCTGAGGTGGGGGTGCAGAACTTCGTGCGGCGTTTTGATGGGAAGCGGAGTCTTGCGACGCCTGTGAGTTGTCGTTTGAAGCGTGTGGCGGAGGGTCGGAACGTGAATCCCCGGATGGTGTGGTTTGAGTCGGAGGGTCTCGGCGACCCGCATGTGGTGTTGGACAAGGCGATGGCGCGTCTGTGTCAGTTCGGTGTCGTGTGTCACGTGCCGCCGTCATTGTTCATTGCGCTACATGTGAAGCTGAAGGAATTGAAGTCGCTAAAATACTCCTACCACCAGTCGCAAGGTTACGTCTCTGAAGAGCACCTCAAGGTGTATCATGACTTCGCTAATCACATGATCAACATCATACGAGACGCGCTCGCCGACCGACATGCCGCACGACTTGAGGACCGGCCCAGGTTTGAAGACGCAAAACATGAAGAAGACTCCAGATTTGCAGACCCCACCCTGGAGCTGATGTGCTGCCTCTTCGGGGAACTCTGTAACGCCGTCCCCTCCTTCGGTCTCTTTTGCTTACCTGCAATAACCCGACCGAAGAGCCCCGCCGCTAGCCCCTTACCACCCGAAAGGAAGACGTCTGAACCTCCGCCCGGGTCAAGACTGGAAGGAGGAAAACGACTGGAAGGAGGAACACGACTGGAAGGAGGAACACGACTGGAAGGAGGAACACGACTGGAAGGGGGAACACGACTGGAAGGGGGAGACGGTAGGGTGGACAAAGAGAGAATGGTCGGCACTGAGGGTGGCTACGATTTGGAGAAGAAGCGGTCGCGACATGTATCGAACGTGTCGGAGACAAGGTTGGCGAATGCGGAAGACTTGGTGAAAGACTCCTCCAGTTTGACGAAAGGGTCTCCCTTGGTTGGTTGGATAAGACGCATGATCGGGGCCTGTGGTTGTCGAGCATGGGACTGGAGTTCTGGACGAGGGTGCGGAAGGGTCAAACATGAGCTCCCGGTACATGCAAGAGAGAAGCAAAAGTGGCGATGCCTTTGCTTCCTTTTACGGTCGTTGGCGGCAGCGTTGATGACCCACGTCTTGTTCGTAGGCCGAGTTACGACGGATGGCGAACTTTTGCGCAAGGAACCTTACCTGCAATTCTTAGAGGCAGTGGCTGCGCCGCTGCTGGGCTACAGACGTCTTCTGCACCTCCATCAGGTTGACCCCCATTTCCAAGACCTGACGGAGACCCTAAATACTCTTATCAGACTGCTTGCTGAAGACGTTTGGAGGGATCGATTCCGACATCCGTTAATAAACAATGTATCAGAGCAAGGACAACCTCATATAAAGGCCGAGCTGATTAGTGTACACATCCTCATTAATCTTATAACGCAACTCACAATTAAAGAGCTGAAAGGTTCGCTAGACTTCGTAAAAAACATCCCCCTCGAAGAGCACCCTCAGAATTGCCATTCATCTACCCGGCAAGGCTTGAGGCAAGGCATGGCACAAGACACGGAGCAAGGCTCAGTACAAGACTCGGAGCGGGTACAAGACTCGGAGCGGTTACAAGACTCGGAGCGGGTACAAGACTCGGAGCGGGTACAAGACTCGGGTCGAGACTGTCTACCAGGGGGCCGTATCTGGAAGGAGAACAGCAGGCAACCAGAGGGCGACGTTGCAATGAAGACGGGTGACGGGGGTGCTAATGAATTAAAGAAGGTCAACGCCGAACCCGCCTTGATTACTTATGAAACGAAAGAGGCCATCTGCAGGATTTGTAGTGCTGACATAGGCCAAAAAATATGTGTCGAACGTGTGTGCTTGCTGCTTAGATCCTTCTTGTCGATAAGCAATCTAACAACAAACCCAGGTTCTTATGAAAAATATTGGTGGAGGGCGCCGGAGGTGTCGCTAAAGGAATTGGACTACAGCTTGTACCTCTATGACGAGGCTGAAAGCTATCGATTCTGCGATTCTACGTCCGGAATTAGGATTCCGGAGTTGATCGCCATAACGCAGACCGGGAAGAAAGTTGCCAAAACCTCAACTCAATATAAGCCAATAACAATGAATATTCTCCTCAGAAATATAATTACTAGTCAGCCGAACGGAACGAGCGGTTACCATTCACTGCTTCTACGTTTGATCGAGGTGGTCCTCACCGGGGATCCACACTGCGGCCGCAAGCTTCATCATCTCAACTATATACATCACATGCTGCAGGAAGCAGAGCATTCCGCGGGTTAAGTCAAATGCGTGAAGACAACTATTCCACGATGAAGAGCTCTCAGTGATGAAGAGCTCTCAGTGATGAAGAGCTCTCAGCGATGAAGAGTTCTCAGTGATGAAGAGCTCTCAGTGATGAAGAGCTCTCAGTGATGAAGAGCTCTCAGTGATGAAGAGCTCTCAGTGACGAGCTCTCGGCCTTGAAGGGTATTTCAGCTTGGCATCGAGGGGGGGGGGGGGTGCAGGTGCATAGAGAATGAACAAGGATAGGCATCACGCCCGTTTCACGGAAGAGGGGGCTACCGGACGCGGAGGGAGGGGTCACCGGCCCGGTGCAGGATTGGGAGGGCCCCGACGCGAAATGAAGCTGCCGCTCGACTTCCGAGACGACGGTCGGCGGGACGCGGACCGACGGGACACGGAGCGACGGGACACGGAGCGGCGAGAGACGGAGAGGCGAGAGTGGCGCGAGTTCGACAACTTGTCGTCGGCGTTGCGTTCTGCACGGGGTCGTTCGAAGACGCCACGAGGGGAGTCGGCGCCGGCGCCATTCTCAGCCTCGGCGTTTGAACTTCCGCCTCCTCCTCCACCGCCGCCGGTGTTTGGGTTCGAGCCTCCGAGTATGATGGGGCCGTGTGCACACGCGGCGCAAAACGTTAAACAGGCGGAGACTGCGTTGTCGCACGTGATGAAGAACGAGCAGGAGTACCTGGCGGCAGTGAAGTTGAAAGCGGATCAGATGTTGGATCGGCTGCACGAGGAGTTTGGTCCGTACTTGTTGGAGGACGAGCGGTACAGCAATCGCGCGTCGGGGGTAAGTGACCTGGCAGGCGTCTTGGCGTTATGCCGTGGTCTGTTGTTTGCGCCGCCACCCGAGGGTCCAGATGCTGACCTGACGGAGGCGGAGTTGCAGCGCGAGGAGGTGTTAAGGCACCACAAGATGCTCTACGCGTTGCGACGTATCCATCCGATGTTGTTTCACTCACAAGTCAACCCCCATGCTTTGCGCCTACTCGAGACCTTCCACAAAGATTTGGTCGACGAACTCTGCCGCTCGCACCTCCTCGGCATCTCCTTCCCCGACCCTGAGTTCATGCAACTCGCCGGCCAGAGCTGGGGCGGCAAGAACAAGGTCAGTCGCCGAGGCGCCAAGACCGGTGGTGTAGACCTCGACAGCGACACCGAGGATTTATTGCAGGAGTACGACCAGGCCAAACGACAGAAACTTACAGAGATCAAGGCCAAGATACGGCAGCGAATCAAGAACGACATTCGGCTCGTTTCTGGCAAAACGGAAGGCATCGATGACGCGTTAATGTCCCCCCTCGGTGTCCCACCTAGTGCCGCGCTAATTAACCCAGTTACGGGCCAACCCATGGGCCAGGCCGTAGCGGGGCCTGACGGTCAGCCGACGCCCTACCCGTTCTACCCGGCTGTGATGATGCCGCCGCAGGCCGTGATGGCACCGCCTGAAAAGGAGCACCGCAAGAAGCGCAAGAAGCGCGACAAGGAGGCGGCGGCCGCGAGCTCCCCGCCGGCACCCAAGACCGAGCCGGAGAAGCCCCCGGAGGAGGCGGCCGAGCGCGCTTCGCTGAAACTCAAGCAGAAGGAAGCCAAGAAGGCGGCGACTAACGCTGCCCCTGCCAAGGCGGACCCTGCCAGCAAAGAGTCGCGCACGCTGAAGCCGGCGCCCAAGGGCAAAGAGCCTCCCAAGGCGGGCGAGCCTCCCAAGGCGGGAGAGCCTACCAAGGCGGGAGAGCCGCCTAAGTTGGGGGCGCCGAAACCGGGGGCCAAGAAGGACGGTGCCAAGGAGCCCCTCAAGGGCGCTCGAGGTCTCGGCGCTGCCCTTACCACCGGCGACAAGAAGGGCTCCGTCGGTGTGGGTAAGGGCAGGGGCAAGGATTCGGGCGGCGGCCAGATCAAACGCGGCTCTGGTGAAAGAAAAGTGTTTGGCACCGGCGACCGAGGATTTGTTGATAAGGGACACGACAAGGGAGTAGATAAGGGGGTGGACAAGACACACGGCAAGCTGGACCTGCCAAAGTTGAAGAAACGCAATCTCTCGCCCACCAAACCGTCGGACAACACGCACTTCGAATTGCCCAAACTCCGCAGTCGAGACGATAAGAAAGGCGGCGACGATAAAAAAGACAAACTGCTCAAGAGGGCCGGTGACGATAAGAGAGCTGGTGAGGATAAAAAACCGAAGGCCGAACAGCCCAAGCGAATCGAGGCCAAGAAAGCCGCCATGGCCCGCGTCCAGATGAGCAAACGTTTAGAAAACAAAAACACGGCTGACCCAGCTCCCGCGGCCAAGAAAGGTGCTTTAGATGACATTGTTAAAAAGGCCGTGAAGGCAGCCACCCTCAAAACCAGTCTTCAACTCTCACCGCAAGCGAACGTCGCCAAAAGCGGCACCGTCACCGGCAGCAAACCGCCTGCGTCCAAACCATGACGGCGGTCCTGGTGTTACCACGACCCGAAACCAGAAGGCCACGACCAGAAGGCCACGACCGGAAGGTCATGACCGGCGGGCGCAGCTTTATCTTGTTTTTCATCTTAATTGCAGTCTTTCTACTCTTCGAGGTCATGAAACCGCCGTACCATAATGGTCACAATATCCGGGACCGTTAATATGCGTGTCGTTCAACCTCGCACACGCACCCAGTCGCGCTAGCCAATTCGCCAGGTGTCTCGCTGCGTTGCGGGTAGCATAGATGTTGAAGAGGGTTAATTATTCTGCGTGAGTAAATGCGTACGCAGGGGGCTTCGATGTCCGGAGCGGTTTGCTGGGGTCGGCTGTTGTCGGGCGGAGGTTGGGTCTGGCACTCTGGAGAAGCAGAAGCGGAGACGACTACGCACCTGCCCGAGGCTGAGATGTGGCCGGAAGTTGCGCCACCGCGGTCCGAGGCTGCGTCCGAGGTTAGGTCGTTGCCGGAGATTAGGTCGTTGCCGGCGATTAGGTCGTTGGAAGGCGGAAAGAAACGTTTTACCGGTTTGTCGACGGTCGGCGCGGACACTTCACCTATCTACAAGGCGGTGGGGGAGGTCCCGGAAAGTATGAGGGCCTTGCTAACTACAGAGGAGTGGGAGAGGGTGAGGTTGGTGACGGAGGCAGATTTGCGGGTGTGTGTGCTTAAGTATGTGGAAGTGGGTGCAGTGATTTCGAGGTTTGTGCAGTGTCCTTTCGGGACCATAAACGCTCGGTCGGCGCTGTGTAGCGCGCTGAATGTGAAGCGCTGGAAGCGACAATACGACCATTGGGTTACCGGCTGCCTTCTAAGACGCGCCGATGTCCAGCTGCGAAAGTTGCTGGAGTTCTGCGTCCGGACTCTGCACTACACGCCCAGAAAACCCTGGTCGCTCGAGTGCCTCACGGACCGGTCCTCACGCTGCCATCGGTGCCCATGGCCGCATACCGAACAGGCAGTGCGCGAACTGATCCTGCAGCTCGAACGCGACTACGAGGATACGTTGTCTGACCCGCTGACCATCGCGGATTTTGCTCAACTTGAATTCCGCCGCTCGACAAAAAAGCCGCCACTCCCGTACTCTAAGGATCAACCGTCCAAGAATCAACGGTCCAAGGACAAAGGATCAGACGAACGGTCGGAAAAACAGGCACGCTTGGAACCGATAGAAGAAGAGCCACTTTCGCAACCGTTTCGGCCACTCCCGCAGCCGGGCAGCCCGCTCACTAGCTTATCAGGGGGCCCCGCAGAGAGCTCGGAACCGAGGGCGGAGCCGAAGGCTGATGTAAACGGGGCGGATAACAATCGAGGGGTGCTGCGATCGCCGTTGAGACCGGACACATGGGTACGGGAGCAGAAGCGGGGCAAGTCGTTTCGGCGGGCGCAGGGGCGTTTCCGAGTGTTTGCGGCTCAGCGGAGGGACTTGTTATCCAACGCGGCCAAAAAGGTGTCGGCATTGTTGGGAGACAACTGGGAGCAGTTGGAGGATATGGAGGCGAAGGACTTGACGGCCTGCAGCCCGGCTTACGTGGAATTGGGTACGATAATCGACAAGTACATTCGCGACGCCTTCGGGACCGTCTCCAAATTCGATGTCGCGGTCGTTGCGGCGGCCATGACGACTGGCGAGGGGCGGATTTTGCCGCCGTTGTCGTTGGTACACGGCTGGATCACGGGGTGTATCCTCCAGTACGCACAGGTACCGCAATCCCAGCTAATTACCTTCTGCACCGAAGACCTGCGGTACATACCCTCGACTCGCTTCCTACTAGACTGCCTCCGTGCCAGGCCTGAGACCTACTGGGATTACACCAGACGCACCCGTGCAGGAAAGAAGAAACGAGAGCCCGCCAACTACCTTGCCGCTCTCCTCTCCAGCTACCAATGCAAGGTGACCATCAGCAAGTTCGTTGAACTCTTCCATCGTGAACGAAACGCCATGAGCGACGAACTAGAAACCATCGCCAGCCAAAAGAGAAAGAGGGGGCGACAACCAAAAGAGGGCCAACGGCGAAGAAAGGGGCGACAGCCAACAGAAGGCCAACAGTCAATAGAGGACCAACAGCCAAGAGAGGGTCAACAGCCAATAGAAGGTCAGCGGCCAGGAAAAGGAGAGCAGCGAAGAAATGGCCAGCGAAGAAATGGCCAACAGCGAAGAAAGGAGCAACAGCCAATAGAGGACCAGCAGCCAAGAGAGGGCGTACAGCTGAAGGGGCGGCATGGCCCGGAGCCTCCCGCCGGCACGCGACCAGACGATCCGTTTATGTATTGCCACCCGGATGACTTAACAGATTTTCTTCATTGGGTGGAGTCAGGACAAGCTTAATAGACCTTCTCGCGCCCCGGGTCCCCTATTACACCGTACTGAGGCGCGGTGTCCTACCATGATTGTGTGGTCGTCATCGGAAGCTCCGAGAGATCGAATGCAGGACCAAGGGCAAATCTTTTTGTGTGCGCGTGTTTGTCGCGCACTTTTTGCGCGGGCTATAAAAACAATAAGAGAGTAACGAAAACTCCCTTAGGTTCGCGTGATAGTCTTTCTCGTCCCGAAAATATATTATAACTTTTTTTGGATGGGCGTTTGAGGGTAGCAGCACGCGGACAGACAAAGTCCAAACAAGGTTAAGAGACATGATAGAAGTAGGTTATGGCACTAAAGCCGCAACAGCGGACCCGAAAAAGGGAGATAAACAGTAAGGGTCCGTTGGGCACTTGCCAAGGGGGGATTAATTTGTTGAGAACAACCAATAGTTATTCCAAACACTGGCAAACATGGACAATGAGAAAAAGACTCGATGGTACCGGAACCCTAATCGCCTTCTTATCACTTCTCGGAATCCTCCAGAGCTGTAGAACGACCAGGAGCCACTCCGGTCGGTACGTCAAAAGATGGTGGACGACCTGAGCAGTGGCTCACGTGATGTTAGACCCCAACGACCGGAACGGTCTACCAAGTGTTGTGGTTCCCCACATTGATGTTAGGGACGACACAACGAATTCAATTGGGGACAAGAAAACCCCCGCCCGGTAGGGGTAGACGTAGGCCGCCAGACGGTTGATGCCTGGGTCTGTTTTGCTGCGTCCTTCCTGCTAAAGGTATCCTCACAGCCAAAGGTGTCCTTCATATTTTGCTGGTGAAAGCGTGTGAACCCATTGGTCCGCCTCTGCCATTCGTGCTGTCGTGTGCTGACACAGGACACCGGTCTAAGCTTGCCCCAGACAGAGCCTTTCTAGTAGGTCTTCCTGCTAAACAGCGAGTTCCTGTTCCCTCAATTGGCGCGCCTTTCTTTTTGCTCTAAAAAAACTTGTACATTGTCAGAGGAACAGGCGCCTGTTGGGAAGAATGAAGCCCTCAAACTCTGCTTCAAACGGACGTTGGTTTATTGTTCAGGGATTGTTAGCTGTCGACGGTGGTTTGCAGCTGCTCGGGTCTCCGTCAGGGCTCGGTCAAGAGCAGCTGCGTGGTGATCCGATGGACACCAAAGAGTGCCCGGTACAGGAAGTTGGCGTTTCGCAAGTGGAGGTCCCCGGTGTTGGGGAGGTCCCCGGTAAAAAAGACGGCCAATCGGTGTATTTGAGTTCGTATCAGTATCTGACCTATCTCGCGCTCAGCCTGAATATATTTGAGAACCAACAGGTCGCTCGTGCGAGATTGGGTGGGCTGTTGTCACCAGATGAGTGGAAGGCCTTGAAAGAGGTAACTACGTCCGACTTGTGGGAGTGTGAACTCATCTATGTGGAACTTGCTACGATCATTTCTATGTTCATAGCTGCCCCCTTTGGTGACGTGTCAGATGCCGCAAGAGGGACTGTGTGTCAGTGGCTGGAGATTGGGACGTGGAGCACTACCCACAGCAATTGGGTAGCGGGCTGTCTTCTTCGACGTTCAGGTGTCCCAGTAAGAAAGGTGATTGACTTTTGCAACGATACGTTGCAATATGTACCAAATAATAACCGGTGGAAATTGGAGTGCATGAGACTCCGCCCCCTATTGCCTCGGAATTACCGGGACCGGGTTTTAGGTTTCGACAGGAAGCAATTTTTGTTATGCCTGGTGAACGATTTGTCAGAGAAAGTAACTGCTAACCAGTTTGCAAAACTACAGACAGGGAACATAACATCGGTGCCTCTTGTGGCCACGGCAATAGCCCGACAGAAGAGGCAGATCCCACGACCGACGCTAGGACGTACCGAGGAGAAGCGCATACGGAAAAGCGTGGGTTTAGGAGCCGGGACAGGCGGTCCGCCGGTGAGGTCGGAGGAGTGGGTCCTTTCTCAGTCCACTAGAGTCGGCGGGGCTTGTTCCGGAGAGAAAGCGGCTAGTGAGCGAGTCTACCGACGGACGCAGGGTTTCTTGACGAAGCTTGCAGTATTCCAAGAGCCGGTTTTATTTCCGGATCATGATGTGAATGAAAAGCTGACTAAACTGTTAGGTGGAGATTGGAATAAATTGGAGGGAATGAAAGAGGCGGATGTTGATGCCTGTAGTATCGCTTATTTAGAGCTAGGAACCATTATAGAAAGATATATAAACTCCGCGTTTGGAACTGTTTGTGAGCAACTACGGGATAAAGTACTTACGATGTTTTCAAGTGCAAATTTTACTACTATGACTTCTGCATGGTTAACGGGCTGTATACTACAATACGCTGAGGTATCCATACCCCGTCTCATCGACTTCTGTGTAAAGGATTTGACATATAAACCTGCCCCAAACAACTGGATTCTAGAATGTCTTAAATGCGAACCTTTTCGCAAATGCAATTATCACATGAGGGCATCCTTAAATGCTCGAGAACGTCTCGCTGACCTTCTTATTGGCCACAGGCAGAAGCTTTCTATTCCCGAATTCATTGAGGTGCGGTCAGGATCAAGATCGCACAAAACCAGCTACGTTCGCGCATGCTTTATTGCTTCGTCTTCCTCTACACAGTCGTCTTCCTCTACACAGTCGTCTTCCTCTACACAGTCGGCTCCCTCTACACAGTCGGCTCCCTCTACACAGTCGGCTGCCTCTACACAGTCGGCTCCCATTATTACTTGGAAACCGAAGATGCGGGGAAGACAGACACCAGCTTACCGAGGGGAAATTCCACGGTCCCAGACCGAGAATCCAGGCTACCGAACTTTGGCTCCAAAGCATCACATGTGGATAGACCAAGATCCTGCACTGATGTACTGCCATCCAAATGATGTGATTGAATTTATAAATTGGGTGGAATCGGGTGGTGTGTGAGTGCTCGCTGGGATGATCACGAGGACTGAGCACTGCCGGATGACACCGTTCATCGAGGCTCCATACAGTTATTGTGCTCATTGCCATAAGACGTGTTTTAGTGTACTGCTAGTAATCACGTCTGATGAAACAGCGTAAAAAAGCGGAAGTCACTAGCTGCCACAGTCCGAACGCAGAGCCCGAACCAGATCCAATTTTTTCCAGATCCAATTTTTTCCATCAGAGGTCCAGAGAGTTGCCTCAAGGTCAGTCGGTACGATTATTACGAACAGTGACTGATTGAATGCGGTGTTGGAGACTCCATGTCCGTTCTGGTCCGGAACGGGCCCGATGAGTCTCTTCTCTCGACGTTCCGTTTCTGGTCGGTCAACAATCCGGAGGCGCCTGCAGAAGGTGGTTACAGGATCATGCTGAGTGCCTGTTCAACGACTGCGGCCAGCCACGACCAGTCGTTTTGGGTGGCGTATGCGAGCAAGATTTTTCCGGCGGTGAGTAGTCCGGGAAGGTTTTGGTTGTGTGTGTACTGGCCGCCGCAGACTGGACAGAAGTTAGAGCAGCGGACTCTGGCGACTTTGTGGCACGTGCTGCATTTGAGTTGTTGGAGGGAGTGGGCGACGTAGAGTAGTTCGAAGTATTGGACCAGCTTGCTTTCGATTTCGGCGTCGCTGAATGCGTGTAGACATTGGGGGCACACGGGCACGCCTTCGAAGGACGCGGTTTGGCTGATGTGGCTGTTGCAGCTGGCACACCGTACGTTGGTCACGACGACGCCCACGACGCTGCCGAACTGCCGCTGCGCCTGCGAGGCCAGCAAGTCTTCGAACAAGGCCGCAGGCGTCGTCTCCCCCTCGTCTCCTGGCAGGCGGTTGAAGGCACACTCGTCCTTCCTTGTCAGACATTCCAGCAGCCCCAAAGCCAACGAGTAACACGGCGTGGAGGCAGAATCTTGTACACATGCTGGAAACGCCTCAGCCACCGGCGGCATCGCAAACTTGGCCATAAACTCGTCCACCAACCGGTACCACGTCGTCCCCACGAATTCCGTGATGTGCTCGACAAACTGCGCGTGACTCAAAGATTCATACCAGCCCGCTTGGGTCGCGGCCGCATCCGACTCATGCCATCCAGCTTGGCTACTATGAGTCGCATCCGGCTCTGCGTCTTCGCCCACGCCAGCAGCTCGCTCACGGCGGGAGGAGTGACACGACTTAGGGAGTTCGAGAAACTGAATGACAAGGTCTTCAAGCATCCGTCGCGGTCGGTCGGGGAACTGTTCCAAAATGGGCAGATCATAGACGACAATCTCTCCGTCGTTATTGAGGAAGCATTTGTTGCAAGGGTCGAGGATGAGTCCGTGCTTGAAAACCGAGCAGGCGTCCGTTTTGAATAGCTTGTTCGACATTGACTCTCTGTTCCACAGCCCGATCAGTGCCTTGGCAGCGAGGATCGCGTCGTCTTCTTTTAGTGTCGGAATCTCAATGAGCAAACCCGAGTCGTTCAACTCCAAAATGCGCGGCTGGCGGCGCGTGCGCCCGACTGCCGCGCTTAACTGATTCACTAGTCGTCGCTGCCACAGAGGCAACCAGGTGCAGCACAGCTGCTCGTATGCCTCCTGTACTTCTCGGCTAGTGGTCAGGTAATGCAGGACGCCATCTGCGTAGGCCAAGTCCTCCATTTTCTCATTCAGCAACGCAGAAAGCACGGCCAGGGTGCGACTCTCATAACCCAACACCCCTACACCCGAGCCATGCAGGCCCGAGCCATGCAGGCCCGAGCCATGAAGACCCGAGCCATGAAGACCCGAGCCATGAAGACCGACGGTCCCCAGTTTGTCGGAGGTGTTGCTTATTTTGTCCATTGTGCTCGAGGTCAAAGTGCTGGCGGTGAAGACGCTGCTGAGAGAGGCCGACTTGAGTCCTGCGCGTTTGCAAAAGCCCTCGGAAGACAGTTCGCCTAAACACAGAAGACATTGCAGGAGCCCGCTCCAGCGGAACGGGATGGCGACGCACTGGTACCTGTACACGCCGGCATGGCTGATGCCGAGCATTTTAACAGGTTTGAGTGTTGCCCGCAGGTGGTCTCTGCAGAGCTCGGAATTGAACCACAGACCGCCGCATACCAAGTCGGCCAGTCGGTCAAAGTTCGGCAACAGCGGACTCGCCTCGGTCAAATGCGAGCCCACATGCCGCGGGAAGACAGACTCCCGCCACAGAACCGCGCGACACTCACTCGCCACGCCGTCACTCGTACTCGCCGATAACACCGTCCGCAATGGACTGCTCAGCGGCCCACTCAGCCGTCGAAGAGTCCGCTGATACAATCCCGCAAACTTGCTCAAAGTCCGACTACAACACAGCACTGATCAGCCCCCCGCACCCCCCAGATGTAGCACTACTACCACCAGGTGGGGCATTCCACCACGGTCCTTCCTGGGCTTACTTGTGAAGATCTAGGGTAATATCGCGCGATTCGTAGTCTGCAACGTAGGTGACCTGAGTCAGACAGGGCACGCCGCAGTCCAAACTTGCCGGAGACAACGCCCACCGCAGCGACTCAGACAAACACACCGTCCGCAGTACCGATCGGTTCCGCGCCGTACGCAGGCGCGCACTCGCGTCCCGTACCATCGCCTCCATGTTCTCGTACGCCGCACCCACGGACTTGACAGCCACTGCACACAGCACGTAAATGTCGACCCAGAGGGGGTAACCCGGAGGTGTTCATCCCGGAAGTAGTGCCATTGTTGTGCCCGTCTCACCGTATACATTCGCGGAAGGATAGACTGCTTCAAGGCGACCCTTAAAGAAACTGCTCGCAGCGTGTATGTGCGATTCTGAGACAAGGCGACATCGTAACGTGTGTACCCAATGTGTGTGTCCAACGTGTGTGTACGAGAAGGAGTGGTGCACGATGGTGTGTATCAAGGGTGGGTCTTACGTAGAAACATTTGGGGCATCTTTTCCGTTTGTCCCGTGATGATGGTAAGTATCCTCGGTTTGCGTGTGTTGTCGATTGAGGTGGAGATCCAGAAGCCCTGGTCACCAGTGACAGTGAGGAAGGCATCGAAGAACCAAGAGAGCTCATGGTGGAGGTCCTTGAATTCCACACGGTTGTTAGAGTTGATGATCAAGTACCGTCCGTCATTGGTAGGGCGCAAGCTTAGCTCGACCAGTCTGGAGTGCAAGTCCAAGTAATTTCGTTTTGTTCGTTCCAAGTCGACGGCTACCCGGGCGTGGTCCCGACAGTCTGCTACGCACGGCTCTTCCAGCAACGCTGTTTCCAGTCGGGGATTATACGAATAACTTCGCGTCAGTACACTGACCAAGTCCGGTTGCTTCTTAAATCCCAAAATGTTCACCTTGGTGGGCAGTGCGTCGACTGAGTAGTGGCTAGCGTCCACAGTACAACCGTGCTCCTGAACTCCAATGCTCCCTCTTCTCGGTCGACGAAGACCCGCTCCTGAACCGCCCGCAGGGGGAAAGTCTCCACCTCCGACAGAGTCGCGATCTCCCATAAAATCACGACCGTCGTGTCGACTTCCTGTAGCTACTGAACCGCGTCGATCGATTATTTCCCCAAGAGAGGGCACCGGTCGGAACTCACCCAGAAGCAATACCTTACGGTTAAGCACAATGGGAACTTTGTACAGCGTGTTTACTGCGGGATGTCTGACCAACGCGTGGTGCTCATTCTCCATCGAAATCACGATATCCTCCAGCCAGAAGGTGCCCTTATCGAAGAGATCCTGGCGGTTCAGGACCGGCTGCCGTCGCAAACACAAAGAGGCTACCCCCAAAGAAGACCAGCAGTGCTTCCACCGCTGCCACGGCCTCGCACCTAGTTGGTCCAGGTTGTCGCCGCGTTCACCAGTTAGAGTCCTCGCCGTGTTTGCCGGAACCGTGTTTTCGTTCGGTGAGGTATGGACAGGCGAGTGTTCGACAGCCGACTGCTCGACAGGCGACTGCTCGTTTGCCCAGTCAGTGCCCATCTCGCAGTCGATGCCCACTTCCCAGTCCGTGCCTTTCTCGCAGTTGGTGTCCCTTTCGGGGATGCCAAGTTTCGAGAAGGAGTCTTTGCCCTGCGAAAGGGCACTGCGTTGTCCCTTGATCACGAATTCGCGAAGGTTGAGCTGCCGTGAGAGGTCTGCGATGTTGCACCAAGCGGGTGCCGGTACAACGCAAGGGTTCCCGACCTTCTGTTGGAGCGCGGGAATCACGACGATTTTTTGCACCGTCGTTTGCAGTCGTTCGGCATAGTAGTCCCAGTCGATGAGGTCTCGCAACCTCTCGTCGCAAGCTGCCGCAACAGCCGCTGGTCCGGACCCGTCTAGTTTGGTAACGCCTTTGGTCGAGCTGCCCTTTTGGAGGAGGTTGGACAGCGTGTCGTTGGACTGGGCCCATTTGGTGAGCCAGTAGTCTCGGGTTTGCGGTTCGGCGGAGAATATGGAGATGGGAGCTGCTCGGTGGGTTCGGGGTAGTCCGATGGGGTACTTGAGGATGACATAAGTGCAGCGGATTCCGGAATCGTTGATGTACGTTTCATCGTTGTAGCACTCGGTGAGTCGGAAGGCAGTTGTGATTCCCATTGACTTGTAGTCGCCGGCCTTCGAAGCCGGTCGGGACATGTTGGTACTTTCCGCTAGCAAGCGCAATACAGTGGAAAAGTCACTGCACTTGCGGCCCTTCGTCCTCACAAATGCCATCCAATTATCGGCAATCGCACCCGCGCCGCGGTAGCACTCGGATTTGTCATGGCCCAAAATGAACGAAGGGAAAACGGACTCCTGAAAGATCTTTAACAACTCCAAATCGCCGCGACGCTTCAGCTCGAAACCTTTTAGCTCGCAGATAGTTCCGTCAAAATCGTACACCGCGTACCGCTTTTTCAACTGCTGATTTTCCTTCTCTGACGCCGGCAGAAACATACCGCGGTACGGCCCGTCGATCTCGAAAAAAACCGAGTTCTCACTGGACAACTTGAACTTTTGACTCGCTCTGTCGAACGTGTGGTATTGATCGTTTAACCACGCCTTCTCCACCATCGCGTTCAACATCCAGCATGGGTAGCTGAACTTGAATGTCTTGCTCACTGTCCGCACCCGTCCCTCTATTTCACCCCCCTGCCCCCCCGGTTGTCCGTTTTCCGGGGGTCCATTCTTCATACAGGCGTTCTCTACATGTCCGTCTTCCTCTTGAGCAATCTGGACTTCGATCTCGAACGTGTCGGGAAAGCCTTTAGGTAGGAGCGTCCAGACCCCGTCGGTGTCGAGTTCCAAGGGAATGCCGATGCCGGCACAGATGTCCCGCGCCATCTGGATGATGGTGGCCCCAGTGTGTGTAACGATAGCGGCCATTTCGAGTGAGTACCAACGCGCGCCCTTGCGCATGACGTAGCCATAAAACGAGTTGAGGATGCACTTGTGGGCGAGCTGAAGCGAGTCGTAGGTGATTGCGGCTGCCTCCTTGTCCTGTTTCTGATCTACGGAGCATTCGCTAAGTTCTTTCTCAGCAACTTTTTTAAGTCTTTTATACACGAGTCTTCGATCTCGAAAATCACGCACTGTGTCCACGTAGAAAGAACTCTGTCTTTGACAGACGAAGCTCGTCTTACTCTTCTCCAAAGTGGTCTTGAATTTGTTCTTATTCGTTTTTGCTGCCACCTGTTTCAATCTCGCCGTCTGAATCTCGCGACGTTCCCGCAAAGGCAACTCAGTATAAGTCGTCATTACGACCTCGCCATTCAATTTGGCCAAGGGAAACCGCTCTACTCGCAGCTGATCATTGATTGTCCGTACCAAAGCCCGATCCAGATTGTACTTCTCAGCCTTCCATCGCCACTTTAGCTGCCGTTGACACTGCGCTCTTTCCTTGTAGTACGGACAATGGAAGCAATCCGTTTCCTCATCCACTATGCTATAGGGCTGCAGTCGCTGACTTAATATGATATTTGGATACATCGCTCCCACGTCCATGTGGTAAATCAACGGCTCCACTTTCAAATCGCGCGCAAGACGGTAACTCATTAGTCTCTCACAGATCTTACGCTTCACCTCACTCTCCCAATTCGTACCCAGGATCACTCGCGAACTATCCATCACTTCGTGCTTCAACCACACCTCATACGTGTAGTCCAAGTTCTCCACCAACTCATCCACAATCGCAGAATCAAACACAAACTGCTCAGGGATGTCATGCCGATAAATGCCAGATCTCAACTGCTCCACCTGACCGCCCACATACGTCTCGCTAAACAGCAGCGTGTTCTCGTCCATCCAGTTCTCCTCATCTTGAACCGATTTGTTCGGAATCAAAATGTTCCGGTGATAAGCCTCAGCCATTAACAAATGTTCACACAACGTACCAGAACCTTTACGTAAGACATCGTCAGGCTAGTAGAGCAATCATCATGATGTTCAACCCTCGTGTTTTCAACCCTCGTGTGTGCAACCGTCGTGTGTCCAACCCGCGGGCGTGAACCTTTCGTCTTCAACCCAGATTCCTCATGTAGCTTACGACCAACGGAATTATACTGGACAAGGCCAGGGTGAAGTTATGTACGTATTGTGTATACAACTTGTAGGTGGCCAACGCGTCAGAAACAGAATACTCCGCCATAATCTGGGGCCTACGACAGCAAGAGATACACCATGGATAATGTAAGAATCAGAGTCAGTCATAGAGATAGAGAGAAGGGTAAGAGGTCCACTACATTGGTACAGTCGGAACTCACTTGGTCCAGCAGTATTCAACCATAAGCTCTGGGTCGACTTCTCGAGGCTCGTACCGTAGTTTGGCTCTAGCCACAGCTTTCAAACCCTAGCATCATGTTCACAAATATGAAGAAGGAGCTGGGGAGAAGGTTGCATTCGGCTCAGTGACAAGGGTGCAATGCATCTAGAAGGGGGGCCATAGGAACAGGAATAAGACTAGGAGTAGGAATGAAGATTACCCGGGATCCGCAGGGTAGATACGAGTCTCTTTCCACCCACTTGAGGCAGTCGATGTGTAGGATGATGGGTGAGGTGAATTGGGTCTTCATATTGGGGAGTTCTGTACATTGAAAGCCCCAAGTATCCTTGAGCGAGAGGCCGTTTCTTGTGCATCTTTCCATGACGTAGGGGAAATCAAAGCTGTCTCCGTTGTAGGTGACCAAGATGTGTGGGTTGCAAACACACTGAACATGCCACAGGAAGAATTTCAAGAGCGTCTTTTCTTCATCGAAGTTGTAAACCTTGAACTCAGATTTGAACTGGAAAGTAAAGTCGGCAATGTCTCGCGAAAAATGCTGTCGATTAACCAACAGATAACCTCCCTGGTTGGTATAGTACGAGATAGACATCACCGGATCACTGCATCAGAAAACATCATTGAAATGAAAGGACAGGAATAACAGGAGATTTAGGTTATTTACTAGGGGACACACACACGGGTAGATAGACTGCAGAACGGAAGGCATAGAACGGGAGGGATTGAGCCGAAGGGACACATACATTTCCGCCTGTGGAAACTTCAAAGGCGCCTTATGCGTTTCTATATCCCATGCCAGGATTCTTAACAGAGGCAATTTTGATTTCCAGGATTCTCCAGCAGAGCTTATAATAGGAAAATCTTTATCCTCAGGATTGCTGTCTATCATATACCATTTTCCGCACCGAATGTCCCTATCGATCATGTACGCTGTCGCGATGTCGATGTCATGCTCATAAATAGAGTCGATTAAGTAAGTTGTGTCGCTATCGATTAACCGTTTCACGTAAGACGAAACTTCGTCTCGCACGTCCTGCTTTGTTTGCCTCAACACCGATCCCTCGCGTTCCTGGTTGCGGCGGATGGTTTGCCGCATATTGTTCCGAGCCTGTGTTAGATCATCCCAGTTCGCGGTCTTGACATACAGAAAAGATGTCTCTGCATACGGCGACAAGCCAACTGCACAAAATATACTCGTCAGTCCGGGTGCGCACGCGTGTGTGCGCCCTATAATTTATTACCCACCTTTAAGATAGTCGCTTCCTTTAACGTTTATTTTATTCTTGACAGAGACTTCAAAGTTCGCTCGCGGTATCTTGGCCTTGAAATATCCATCAAGCACAGCAATTAACTGAAATCTGTAATTGTAACAGTGTACGCAGACCTGAAAACTCACTGCAAAGTGTTTCTGTCGTCCCACAGACGAATATCAGCAAAGGAGGACTTGAATCCAATAAGAAAGTAAGGTTCGTATATCTGGGGCGCTTTGATTGTGCGCCCGTTTTCATTGACAAAATACAGGTTAAATCCGCTTCTGGAGCCTACAGTGGGTCAGGAGAAGTTTTGCCCGGTCCCTGTTGTTGCCTCCACTTTCCCTATGGCCACGAAACCCGGGTAAATGATGTTCATAAGTTCATGTTCACAAGTTCATGTCGAGAAGTTCTTGGCTGGTGATGAGTGCGTTACCCTCGAATATAGTTGACTCCACGTTAAATAAGTATCCAGCCCATTTTTGCGGTCCTTCATCGCCCCCCTGGTACGTTGCTATGTTCCATCGGCTATCCATTGAGCCCTGGCTGGTGACCGATCGAGGAATTTAAAATAACGATGGCCTCCCGGGAGGGTGAGCATGCGGCCCGAGAACCAGAGAGTTATGAGATTGAGAAGCTTATAAAAATAGTCAAGAAACGCGGCAAGGTAAGAACTTCACAACCACTCCCATTTTTCCGTAGGAGCTTGTTCAAGTGCGCTGGGCAGGATACGGTGAGGACGACGATACCTGGGAGCCCGTTGAAACATTACCGGATTCGGTCGCGGAGGAACTGCGATCATTACGAGCCATGAAACATAGACGGGGGCCCCCCAAAAACTTTGAAGGAGGCGGCGCTCAGGCGGCAACCAAAGCCACCGCCAAAAAGCGCGTAAGACCGAAGGCAGGAAAATCCGCATTCCCACAAACCGAAAATGAACTTGTTCAGGCTCCAGCGGAGACCCCTCATCCTCCAGCCCCTAACCCTTTGATCCCCGAACGACAAGCGGATACACCGGACGCGACGGCCGGGTCCGGCGCCGCGTATAATGACGGAGCTCACAGCAGCACGGCCCAGGTGTCTCCTTCAACCGCCCCTTCCTCGAACCAGTCTTACTCACACCCAGGGTTCGAAGAAGGCAGTCCCCAGAAAAGTACTGGCCAAGAAGCCCCAGAAAAGGCCAGGAAAGAAACCCAAAATGCGGACTTGGACCACCCCCACCAAGACTCCGGTCACAGCCAAGATTCAGGGAACAGCCAAGCACTAGACTCTAGTCAAGGCGATACTCAGAAGGCTTTCCATAGGATATTTTTTGGAACGCAAGAAGATGAAACCCAAGAAGATGGAACGCAAGAAGATGAGCCGAATCCAAGTGTTAATCGGGCGGAGGGGGAATCTCAAAATCCAGCTCGTTCCGAAGACATTCCAGAGTCCCAACCGATTCAGCCCTTAGAATCAAAGTTGGAAGAAGCAAAGGACTCTGTGTTGAAGGATAAGCCTACTGCCGACAGTACTACTCCCGCTAGTTCGGTTCCCGGCGTCGGAAATAATCTGTCTAACGAGACGGGGAGTGAGGAGCCAGCGCGAATTGAGGCAGTGGACTTGACTCTGAGTGACCCTGAGTCGAATGCGGCCGCAAGATCGAATGCCGCCCCAACGTCGAACGCCACTTCGGACCCAAATGACGTCTCGAAGCGGAATGCTTTAGGGAACAAGCGACGGGCAGACTTAGACTCTCCCCTCATGGAGGCAGTCGACGAGCCTCCTCGGGCCATGCCGGCTAATGTGGGTCAGATGTGTTTGCCTGCACAGTTTTCTTCTGCGGTGCTGGTGCCCGCGGCAAAATCGTGGGCGAACGCACTGGCTTCTGGAGAGCCCGCGGTGGTGAGTCAAACACCGAGTGACGCTGTGGCATCCTCGGGTCGGGGCACTGCGGGTACCCGGGCCCGAAAGCGGGTGCGTGCGCAGACGGAATTGGAGTATGAATCGTCGGATGTGACTTCTTCAGAGTCCGAAATCAGCTCCGACTCCTCACAGGAGGAGCCGCTAATCACTCCCATGCCCAAGGCTTTATCCAAGACCTTGTCCAAACGCCGGAAACGGGCACGGACGGCGGCGACCAAGCAAGCCGCCAAGCGCCAGACTCGACCAACCCCCGCCGCCGAAACAAAGACCAGTGAAATCGCGACTAGAGAACAACTAATCCCCGTAAACGCGGTACAGCAAATCGTCGAGAGCTGCTTCGACAAACTTCGCACTCCCGTCGAGTGGTACTGTCCCGAAGCCTACACCGCACACCAGTTCACCCTCAAATACATCAGTGGCCCTCCTCACGCTCAAAATGAGCCACCCGTGCTGTCCGATCCTCCCAACTGGGACAATGTCTGGGGCTTCATCGAAAATCACACCAACGGCGAAAAGGCCTACCTTCCGCTCTCCGTACTCAAACAGAAATACCAAAGCGCCCTGATCGAATTTTTGCTTGCACGGACCGACTTGTCGTCATAACCCCTTCTAACTTCTGGACGACACATTCCCTCCAAACCACACCTTCCCGGGCCCACAAACGCACGGGCCGACTCAAAAGCGCTTTCAACGGATCGTCGCCTCAACTCGCGCCGTCGCGCTCAGTCCGAAATCGTTCAACAGCCGATACCAAACTAGCTGCTCTTGACGTCTGCGGCCCCAGCCCGTATGCGACGTCTACAAGCTCCCAACACCTGTCGTCAAACCGCTCCACAGAGTCTATGAAAACAGAAGCTACAACAGCCCAACTCCCCGAACAGCCCAGCTCCCCGAACAGCCCAACTCCCCGAACAGCCCAACTTCCTAAACAGCCCATCAAGCCCCACAACAACCAATGAGGCTGCCCTGTGCACGACGTGTCCGGTGGTGTCCCGTCGCCGGTGCGGTTCGTCGCCGACGGGTCTTACATGAGCACTTGAGAATTTCCTCTGGCTGAGAAGTCCGGAAGTACTGACAGAGAAGCCACATGACTGCGTTGAGGTTTCCCTTGGTTGCTGCCCTTTCAATCAAGCAGTGGCCGTCACTGATGGCGTAGGGGACCGCAGACGGCGTCAGCCGATCTCGCGCGAGAGGGCAGCCGTAATGGTCCACGAGGTGCTGCAGGTAGTGCGCGGTTCGGCACTCCGCTGCGAAGAGGGCCAGTTGGTCTACGTCATCTTTGGCAACGGCCCGGACCGTAAGGTGGTGGAGCAGTGCGTGGTCGACTTCCGGACATCGGGCACAGGAGGCGAGGGCCGTCCGCGGTTCGGTCTTTATGTGTTCGGTCGGGACAACGCGGCTGAAGTCCACACCCCGTTGCGCAAAGAACAGGATCGCGTCCAGACTGCCTGAGTCCGCGGCTTCCTTCACCGCCATCGGGTCCACCGGCACGTACCAACGTTTCTCGTACGGATCGTGGTAGAGCCTATATACAAACAACATCGCACGCTCATGTGGTACCGCATAACACAACCAGCTGTGCTGGGCCGGCTTCGTATACCCTTTGAGGTACAGGTTCTCCCACGCCTCCATCAGGCCGTTCGACAAGATAATCTTCCATACGGATGGTGCCATCTCCGTGGGCCAGACGTCAGCTACAGGACATAAATCAGTCACCCACTCAATGAACGCTTTGTCCTTCGTCGCAATCGCAGTCTCAAATGGCGGCTTTAACGGGTGCACCAGTGGACACTTCACCATCCACGTAGAAAGCCCTCGAGCTTGCCCGCCGGCGCCCTGCTCACCGGTGTCCTCACTCTCCAGCATCTCTTCCTGAAACTCGTCAGGCTCATACTCATCAGATTCAACATCACTAGCCTCAATCCCAACGTCAGGCTCGTCCTCTTCTGCCGACGCGGGCCGTCCCTCTTCACCGTCTCCGCTCTCCCACTCCCCCCGGTTTCCCTCCTCAGCCGCATCCTCGGACGCATCCTCAGAAGCCTCGTTGTTCTCCAGTTGGTGATTGACGCGCAAAAGGCGCCTTTGCAAACGTGGAGGAAGCCGGTGAAGGGGCGCCGGCAGCACTGGTCTGTCTCCTTCGGGGTGCCTCAGACCCTGCGGATTATCCCCCCGGGCTAGATCTTCTGGGGCCTGCTCCAGTGGCGGAATTAGTTTGGGAACCTTCAACAGCACGCCCCCTACATTGGCGCCCAGCTTAAATACAACCTGGTCTTTCCTTTCGAGGAGAATGTTTAGTATCCTTTGACTCAAGCATATTCGCCAAATCGGGAATTTGTCTTTGTTGTCGATCTGGGAGAGAGAGGGATGCAAATTATTCTCGAGCACACGTGTGCGCGATAAAAATAATCTGTCGGGGATATGACTGCTGGTCAGGGCGATTAATATCTTGACTCGCATGTTCGGTTCGTAGCACTTGGTTAGCAAGGGCCTCATGATCTCATTCCTTTTTAAGGGGCTCTTTTCGATTCCGCGCTGCGTTAGAATATCGGCCAAGATATCAAGGGGACTTCGCCGAAGCAAATCTGAGTATTCCTCCACTTCCGAGACATGATAATAGCGCTCCAAATAGATAAGGAGGTGGTTAATAATCGTTTCCGTTGCCAGAGTCTCTTTAAGAACAATTTCTAAGAGTTCAGGATGAGAGAACAAGCTCTTTAAGACCACAGGTTCTAGGTACATCCGACTGCATAGCACTAAGTCCAGCAGCACTCCTCGATCATCCATTCCGTCTTGCAGAGCTGGTAAACACGCTAGAACCAAGTTCGGAGTCCACCACCTTCGCAAGACGCACCATCGTAGAAAAAGCCTGGCATTATTTGACAACTTGGGCATGGGAAAAATGCGAAAAAGCCAAGGCCGCCGCAAATTCGACTGCTGTTATGATGACTGCTGGTCTATGATAACTGTTGGTTAATAGATCGGGTGACTAGTTCCAAAAGGACGTTTGTCAGTTCAGCCTTGGCTTTCATGAAGGCTGTGTCGGTCTGATCTCCCCCATGTATTCCGAACATCGTGTTACTTCCGCTCAATGCCTGAGTTAGATTCCGAGCCAGCGGCTTGACCGCCACCTTAACTGCCTCTTCTCCCAGCGCCGAACAGCCCATTACGGCGCCGATTAACGTTGTCAATGGTAATTCTTCTTTCCTCAAAGTCGCCGACAGGATCTCCACCACAGAGATAAATGCCGTAGGTGTCCCGGCGCCGCGCACCACGAAGCTCAGTCCTTCCGACGCAAGCTTCCGCACCTCCAGTGACTCCAGCAACATCGGGGGGTCCATCGGACCCATTGTCGGGGCCAGCAACGCAAGCAGAAACGCTTGGATGATTTGGTGCAACTGCAAAAGGAAAACAAGAAATTGGAAAGGGCAAGAATCCGCCTCCGGGGGCGAGCGGGGTGATGGGGGGGGGGGGGGTTACGTATGGTTTAGATTTGACCCGAGGGTTCTGTACATAGCTGACGAGAACGTGGAGAGTGATAAGGACAGCTTCCGGAGGTCCTTCGGCGACCGCGGGAGGCACGAGGCCGCATATGAGAGCAAAGACGAAGGGCACCAGTTTGCTGGGGGCGGGTCCTTCTCCTAGCGACTGCATAATCTTCCCGAGGGCGAGTTTGTCCTGAGCCTTCACGACCGGGTCCAAATCGGTTTTGGCGCAGTTCTTGAGGGCGCCAATGATGCAGCTTAGCAGCCGTTGCAGGTAGAGCCTGTATTCGTCGCTGAGATACCGATCGAGGTTTTTGGGTATGACTAGCACACTCTGCAGAGTGCTGTTTGAGTTGGAATCACATTTTTCCATGAGCACTTTCATAAATAAGGAGGCGCTTTCGTCGCTGCCTTGACCAGGTCCCTGACTAATAGGTCGTTTCACAAATTCGCGATGGAAACCTTCGAAGGATCTGAACGACCAATTTGGTTGATAGAACCAAGAGTCCTCGTTCCACGTCGTATCACCTGGTCGCCCTTTGTAGACTGCCTTGCTGTCCAGCACGATTGCCGAAGAACTGCAGGGCCGGCCATTCATGGTCACCCACTCCAGCTCCATACACGGCAAGGACGGTACTGGAATAGATGACTCCTCCGCCAAAAAGTCGTCTAGCATCACTGGTCCATCCGCCACGTCCGACTCGAACCAAAAGCCACGACAACCAATTGTAGGCACGCTGTCCCACCTTAATAACCGGGTCGCAGTAATCACCGCGTTCGCATCCAACACCAAGTTGGCCATGCCGTTCGAACGGTGGGCAACCCGCACGCCGTGCTCGATGAGTGTCCGCATTTTATACTCTATTGCCGTACACATTACATCCCAAGCTTCCTCGTCCACCTCCGAATTCCGGTACCCCTGACTCTCACTCAGCATCGGCAACCATCGTCCAAAGGAAAACGACGACGAACTCATCCGACTACCACGCCAGATTTACCCAACAAAAATCACCACCTAACCCTGCCAAAATCACCGCTGCGGGACCCGCGGAAAAAGGACTGGGGAAAACAGTGAGAATTACCATGGAAAAAATTACATTGTGTTGGTTCCGAAGCCAGCGTGTCCGGTACCGACCACGCGTCCGGTATCAGTCGAGCCATGCGCGTCAAAAGGCTTCTTCCTGGTCATTGGTTCATTGGCATAATTGCATCGAAGCTTGTCTCGGGCATGTTTCACTCTGTCGAGTTGATCGTGCCGATGACAAGTGCAGTTGTTGACAAGATTGTGTCTATAGAGTCATGTGCAGGAAGGGGTGGTCCATCATTTCCCGTGGGGTGGGTCGTCTATCGGGGTCAATGGTGAGGATCTTGCAGACGAAAGAATTGAATTCTTCAACGCCGCAGTCCAGCTGCTCAATGATGGATCCACCAGCGAACGCGGGTCTTCTGCCCAGATCGCGAGTGAGCGGTCTAAGGAAGCATTTCTGCTGATTGTAACGCTTCACGTACTCACAGCCGCGTGTGTTGGAGGCCCTCTTCAGCATGTGGCTTGGGATCCGTCCGATGTATCGCTCGAGCAAATGCAGGTGCTCCAAGTGATCGTGCGTCCTGAACAACAATTGTCCAGCATATAACTCAAACACAATGCAGCCGAAGGACCACATATCAGAACTTTCATTCCATCCCAAATCTGCAATCACAAACATGTGCCCTCAGAGAAGGCAGAAGGAAAGACTCCAGAAAAGGAAAGACCCCGAGAGAAGGAAAGACCCCGAGAGAAGGAAAGACCCCGAGAGAAGGAATGACCCCGAGAGGTGACTTGAGAACCCCGAGAGGTGAATTGAGAACCCCGAGAGGTGAATTGAGAACCCCGAGAGGTGAATTGAGAACCCCGAGAGTAGGAAGGACCCGGACAATACATGGTGACGACAGTGTGACAGGGGGACTACTTACTCAAGATGACCTCTGGGGCTCTATATTGTCTTGTGTTGATTAGTGGACAGTGCTCATCTCTAGCAAAGGTTGCTCCGCCAAAGTCTGCAACTTTGACATGAGCGTTGTTTGGTTGCTGGTAGTCTTTCCAAGTGCCGCCGCTCCTCACAGGAATGTCGTCTGGAAGTTCAGGATCCACGAAAAGAACATTCTCTAGTTTCAAGTCAGTGTGTGTGAGTCCGAGTTCTTTGAGAAACACTAAACATGATAATATGTCCTTTGCAATTACCTAGTAAGTAAAGACATTACGTGTGTGCCAAAGACATTACGTGTGTGCCAGGGAAGTTGAGTGTCGACCCTGAGAAGTGTCGACCCTGAGATGTAAGTCTGTTTACCTGTATATCTTTTAATTGGAAGGGCCTCATATTGTTTCTGTACATGAACTGGTACAAAGATGGGCCGAGCTTCTCGGTGACGAGGCACATATGCTTGTGCTCGTATATGAACCAGTCGTAGAGTACAATGCAATTTTGGTTTGTAGATTTCTTTTTCTCGTCCACTTCGCCAGCGGTGACCGATTCCGGTTCCCTGTCGGCGGGATCCGCATCATTCAGTCCCGCGTCCTTCAGTCCCACATCCGTCGGCCCCCCATCCGCCGACCCCGCGTCCTTCAGCGCCGCGTCAGAGTCATTAAGGTCTGCGTCGCCACTGCCGCCCAGTGCCTCGTCGGCGCCCGGTGTCCCGTTGGGGGAGGGCAAGTCAGCGAGAACCAAGTTTTTGTGTTGGCCGATATTCTCAATAGCGCTGCCAGCGCGAGTAGGTTTGTTGTTGTGATTGTAGATGATGCGGAGGATTTCGGCTTCGTACTCGGCGGCCTCTTTATACTCGGTGCCGTTCTTGATGACCTTGACGGCCAGGTGCTGACCGCGGTCTTCGTCCAAACACTCCAGCACACACCCGAAGGTACCCAAACCGAGCTCGCGCAGCACCTTCAGACCCGAACGAAGGTACAATCCAGCGAACCATTCAATGTGTTCGCCGCCTTCTGCGATGTGTTCCGCGTTCCCACCACCCGCAGAATATCGCACACGCTCGTCGCGCCGAACGTTCCGGTCGCGCATCAATGGCCGCTGACTCCGTGCAAACGGCGACACGCCGCGCATCATGAACGGAGACACGCCCGTCAACCGCTCCTCCGACCACCCG